ATTCCTTTTATTTCTTTCTCTTGTCTAATGGCTGTAGCTAATGATTCCAGAACTATATTGAATAGGAGTGGTGATAGAGGACATCCTTGTCTTGTACCCGATCTATGAGTAAAAGATTTCAGTTTTTCCCCATTTTGGATTATGTTAGCTGTTGGGTTTTCATAAGTGGCTTTTAGCAGCTTGAAGTAGAGGCCATCTATTCCAATTTTCTGTAGGACTTTGAACATGAATGAGTGTTGGACTTTGTCAAATGCCTTTTCTGCATCAATGGAGATGATCATGTGATTTTTGGTTTTTGCTCAAATGATATAGTGTATTACATTTACAGATTTTCCAATATTGAACCATCCTTGCATCCCTGGGATGAATCCTACCTGGTCATGGCGAATAATCTTCTTGATGATTTGCTGGATTCTATTTGCTAGTATTTTATTGAGGATTTTGGCATCTATGTTCATGAGGGAGATAGGCCTGTAATTCTCTTTCTTAGTTACATCTTTCCCTGGTTTAGGTATCAGTATAATACTTGCCTCCAGGAATGATTTTGGAAGGATTGCTTCCTTTTCAATTTCATGGAAGAGTTTGAGGTGTATAGGGACTACATCTTCTGTAAATGTCTTCTAGAATTCAGTTGTGAATCCATCCGGACCTGGACTTTTCTTTGCCGGTAGATTTTTACTTACATCTCGTATTTCATTGGCTGTTATTGGGCTATTGAGAGTCCTTATATCTTGTTGATTCAGTTGTGGAAATTTGTACATTTCTAGGAATCTGTCCATTTCTTCAGTGTCTTCTATTCTATGAGAGTAGAGATTCTCAAAGTAGCTATTGATAATCTTCTGAATTTCCACTGAGTCTGTGGTAATTACACCCTTGTCATTCCTTATTGCTTGTATTTGAATTTTTTCTTTCCTCTGTTTGATGACGTTAGCTAGGGGCTTATCAATTTTATTTAATCTTTCAAAGAACCAGCTTTTTGCTTTTTTAAGTCTTGGAATTGTTTTCTTCGTCTCAATTGAATTAATTTCTGCTCTAATCTTTATGATTTCCTCATGTCTTTGGGCTCTGGGTTTGGTTTTCTCTTCCTTTTCTAGTTGTTGAAGGTGCACCATTAGGGTGTTTCTTTGTTCCCTTCTGTTTTCCTAATGTATGAGATCACAGCTATGAATTTCCCTCTGAGAAGTGCTTTCATCGCATCCCATAAATTACGATAAGCTGTGCTTGACTTTTCATTGAATTGTAGATATTGTTGAAATTCTTGTTTAATTTCATCAGTGACCTATTGGTTGCTGAGTAGGGTGTCATTTAATTTCTATGTATTTAATGTTTTTTTCGGGTTTCTTTTGTGATTTATTTCCAGTTTCATTGCACTGTGGTCAGATAATGTGCATGGTGATAATTTCTGTTTTGTTGCATAAAGTTAAGCATTACCTATGGACCAGTATGTGGTCTATTGTAGAAAATGACCCATGTGCAGCTGAGAAAAATGTGTATTCAGCTGTGTTTGGGTGGAACACTCTGCATATGTCCACCATTTGTTTCAAACTCTGGTTCAGTTCTGTTATTTCTTTGCTAAGTTTTTCTCTGGTTGACCTATCTTTTGGAGATAAGGGAGTGTTAAGGTCTCCTGTTAAAATTGTGGTATTGGATATTAGATTTTACATATCCATCAAGATTTCTTTATATAGTTATGTGCTGCCGTGTTTGGTGCATACATTTTTATGAGTGTTACCTCTTCCTCTTGAATTTTTCCCCT